ACATTGTACTGAATGGAGTTTCATTTCCATGATCCGTTTTAGCCAGATCACAGAGCTGAACGGGAGGCCCACACAATTATCCTGAGCATTCAGGACAGTCCAGAGAGCTAATTGGGACAATTGGACAAATGATTATTTTCTTTTGCCTCAACTGACCAGATAATTGTCCCCAAGTTTCTGCCATAACGACTCTATGGAATGTCCATTGGAGGGAGGTGGGGGGAAGGAGGTCTGGCCAGAGACGGGTACAATGACGTGGAGGGTGGTGTGCGGTTGGGGCAAGGAGCACAGGGGACCCAGCTGATGTCCCCTAACTCCGAGTCCTAAGTCTGGAACGCTTTTAGGCGAGCCCTAGTCTCTGCGTGTGCCCGCCCGGAGTCCATGTGAGTTCACCCCCACACCCGCCACTGCCCTCCATTTCAAAACAAATGAAATGGAAACATCAGGCAACAGGTCAGAGGTGGCATCTGGGTGGTCAAGGGAATCTGGAGAGAGGAAATTCGGAGATGCTAAGGGCTAACATACACACACACGCGCGCGTGCTCACAGATATACAATTTGAATCCCACATTTGTACGTACGCACGCTGCTGTTTCACTTGCAGCCAAGATCAAACGAAGAAGTTTGCCTCCCCAAATCCTAGGAGACAATGGGAACTCACAATAACTGATCGGTCTGGTGGTCCCCCTGCAGCCCTGTCCTGTCCCCCGTGCTCCCGACTACCAGACATCCCTCCTGTGAAGACATTACCCAGACCTCTCCATCTGGCACCCACAGGTTTTGACTAGAATAAGGGAGCCTGATGGCCAAAATTAAGCCAGCATGTTAGAATAACACGCCATCCCACCGAGTTTACCCACAAATTATACCAGGCAAGTGAGTTGTTTTGTGGCAGCGAGGAGAGACCAGGAAGAACCTCAGGTCGCTCCCTCCTTGGGTGATGATCAGAGCTCTTCGAGGAGGTGCACTGATTTCAGCAGGACACGTCTCTACCAGCCTGCCCTCCTCCGTCAGTGCGGGCCTGTGGGAGGAACCACCCCGTGGCCCACGCTCCTGCGCCTCTGGGCCGGTCGCACGCGAGGGCCAGGACCGAGCCTTCCTCGCGCCCTGCTATCTGCACACACCTGCAGCGCCATTTCCAGAGGGAGCCACCAAACATTCATCTGGAAACCTGACCCCCTGAGGTGACCGCTCAGGAGGCACCCCGCCCCCCCCAACACACAGAGCCCACAATCCGCTCACACGCATCGCCACTTACACAGCTGTCCCATCCAGGGTGGAGGGCTCCTTCAAGGTTATCACTGGTCAGAATGTTCTTGAAGCCCGAGGCAAGTGTCTATCCTTTGAGGGGCAGGTTCGATACTTGGACAGAGCCAGTGGACTTTGAACAAGTTGGGGAGATAGAATTTCTGGCCAAAAAAGCAAGGAGCGATCAAGACAGAAGGCCACCCGCTCCGTGTGGTTCACCAACAGGAAGGTCAGTGACCTCCCTGGCAGCAGGCGCCTCACAGGACAGAATGCCTGGCTTGCCACGGTGACTCCCGGGAAAGCCCGCTCCTGCAGAGCGGACGCTGGGGTTTAAGGACACGAAGACAGACGCCATCATGCCTGGATGACGTGAAAGGCGATGCTTAGGTGACAAAGACCCACCCCAGCCTTTGAGGAGGAGCCCGGACGCAGGCACGTTCCGGGTGAAAGTGTGGGCCTGGCTCTGGGTTTAGCTGGCGAAGACCATCCCTGAAGTGTTCGGTGTAACAGAACAGGAAACATCTAAAGTCACTTAGAAATCCAGTCTCCCGGAGCCTGGCTGTAGTAGGATCTCTCAGCAAGGCACACGGACTACAGTTTACTTGAAGATCTCCCAAGTGTTTCTGGGTATGTGTATGAAGCATACATTTTCATAAGAAGAGTAGTTGTCTGCCTTTTCGGCAGTTTCCCTTTTGTATGCCGGACAGCAGACAGATCGGTCCCTCCGCGCGCATCCATCCGGCAGATGGATGGACTTTCAGACACAGGCAAGGCCTCAGACACCAAACAAAGAGTCATTGGCCCAAACGATCCCAGAATGGACCAGGCCCTCCCGGAACACAGACGCATTGGAAGAAACGCAAGCCCCGTCGTTAAAATTAATACGAGGACTGCAGCATGTTCTTTAATCCGCACGACTGCTTTATTGTACAAAAAGTTTCCAGGAACAGTAAATTAGTTTTAAAAAAGGACAAAAAAAAGTCATTTTGGATAGAAGCGCTTCACTAATTGCTTTATTTAAGCACACAAGAAGAAAAGTCTTATCTGACCAATTAGGTTGGAAGGGTTTTATTACCTTTAAGAAGCCATTAGCTAGGATAAAACACTGAAAGCACTTGTGTCAAAACAAATAAATAATGCTCTCTCAATTAGCAGAGAAAGCGGTAAATCCGTTAAATTAGAGACATACACTGCTTCACGTCCATGGCGAAGACAGCATCCCCCACCCCCAAATTAATACAAGAGACAGTAGATTTCAGTTAGAATCTCGGGGAAGATCAGGAGCTTTGGAGACCCCACGGTCAACACTGACTTCTCTCCTCTCTGGTGCCATCCAAGGAACCACCCCAGGACATGCTGGAGGGGGCAGGTGTCCGGGGCTGAGCCCAGGGGTGCCCGGAAGGAGCTTTCCCTGCCGGCCCTCTTCTCTGCTCGAGCCGCAGGCTCGCGACCAGAGCCCGACGGAGGGATGCCTCGACCTCACACGCGAGGGCTGTCTGCAGGAGCCCGTCTCCTTCAGAGGGGAAGAATGACCCTGAGGGACCGGGACTCCATTACCAGTTTTCTCTTACTTGCCCCAAGGCTGCTGATCTTTCCCTAATAAAGGCTCAAAAGGAAAATACAGTGTTTCGAGGAGCTGGGCCCGCTGGCGCCAGGTTCTGGGGCGGCCTCCGGCCATGGGGCGAGGCAATGGCAGCAGACAGTAGGGCTTTCGCTGGCCCCGCGCCGGCTTCAGACCACTCAAGATCCTTGACACCACGTGTGTTAGCTCTATTATTTAACCCAGATGGGGTGAGGGGGTAGGGAGCAAAAACCAACCCCGATCACCCCTATTAACTGAAAATAAACATAAATAAATGGCGATCCCTTCTTTCTTGTGGGATCCTTTCTTAAAGGGTCACTTTCCTTCAAGGGTAAGACTGAGCACGTTAAAAGCTCCACCAGTCATCCAGGAGTGCCGCTGGAGGCCGTCAGGCAGGGACGAGCCCTTCCCGGCACAGCCCTGCTCCTCGGGGAAGCTGGTCTCCGGGACACCCAGACTCTGCCACCGGATTCGACTCGGCTGTGAGTAAGGAGTGCCTAGGGCTCCTCACGAGGTCTGGAGAAGCCCCACGTGTCGGGGGTGACCCAGGAGGTAGGGGTTCATATTTCCCGACCTTTTCCCCAATAAATAACCGTTTGTCAGGGAATACCACGTGATTTCCTGAAAGCCAGGGGCGCCTCTAGATCATTCTACAGTCACGGCAGTAATATGAAAACCAGTGGCCTCCTGGAGTCACAGACGACTTGGGAAGGGAAGGCTGGGACGTGGGTTTGGGTATTAAGACCACAATCTGTTTGGATGACTTGAACCTCTGGACTTGAGTTTAAGTTTCCAGAAACCTACTTGAAAGTCAATTCTAAAGAGATATTTTATATGACTGATCCAAATAAAGCACGGCACATTTAATGAAGTCATGCTCTTCTCAAACTTTTTAGGAGAGGTAAAATAACAATGGAAAAGCCACCGGAAATTATACAAAGACCATTAAAAAGATACTGGTGTCTCAAGACCCAATAAAACATGAACAACTTCAGCTTTCAAAGTCGCCATCACTTTCCACATTATTCTACAGTTCTAGAAATATATTCGAGCACCATATTGATAATAGGTAAGTAAACGGCAAAGTCTTGCTTTGGCGATCTGATTCATGCTCACGCAAAGAAGGGATTTCCTAATCCAGATTTACACAATCTGCAGGAACAGGCCTACTTTCTTGGGCACGTTAGCCGCAGTGAAGGAGCTGATAAATCATACCACTGGTGGAGTATTTGACTTTGAAACAGAGTGATGTTTGGTTAATAATTTGAGATCCACTAATCCTAAATGGGGCGGCCCATTCAGAACGGCCTGTGTGTAAATTCACAGTTCATTAAATGGTGTCTGGTTTGAACAGGCCATTATGTGGTTAGTATAGAAGTAATGGATTGAGCAAGGACAGCTGGGGACGAGCACAGGGACACACCGGCTGATTCTGGTGACTTCCACGACACTGCCCATCTTCCATTTGCATGTTTTCTGGTGAGGTCGGTTTGAATTACCAACTTCTAAGTTTAGGTGGTTTTGTTTAGTAACCCCTTTTGGTTTACCATAGAAGATGCAGGGCACGGATTCTGGATGAGGAACAGCCCATTTACAGTTAACTCAAACTTATGAGGCCGTTGTAACCGGCCCATCTAAATGTGTTAATTACCATCAATGATGGTTTCTTCTTTTTCACACTTTGTTACTCTGATCATTAACAGTGATGGAAAAGCTAAATTAAGTTAATGGGGAATGGATTATAAATTCTTAAAGGACTTCTCAGTTTGTTTTCAACTGGAAAACATACAAAGAAAGATGAAGAGGCATTTTTGCCTCTACTCACAAATTTTTGGTACCAAATTTCTTAAAAACCAGATGGTTTTTAAAAAATGTTTCCAAAAATTATTTTAACATGTTGCTCCGACATGACAGCTAAAAAAATAACATATGCACATACAGTATCGACCAGCTTGTGGAGTGCCTGTAAACATTCAACTCATTTTCTCTTTCTAAAAAAAATATATATTATGACTGATAACACTGCTCAATCTCTATCCTGCAGCAGTAGCAAAGGTCCTTAAATTCTTGACAACGAAGGAAAACCAGAAGCCCATTCCCTCTGCTTGAGCACGACTGTGACGAGGAGTCCAGGCCGGCGCTCGCGGCCCCCACGCAGTCCGCAGTCCGCAGCCCGCGCCTCTGCTGTGCCCGAGGGGTGGCCACGCCCCTCGCGCCTGGGAGGCCATGCGGGTGGCACACGCAGCCCCACCGACGCCTAGCGAGACTTCACGCCGATGAGGACAACAATGAGGACAATGATGATGACAAATAATATTAAAATCACAAGCATCTTCCGATTCTTCCTTTGATACTGCTCTGCCTATAGAGAGAGGGGAAAAAGGCTGTCATTTTCCCAAAAATCCAAAATCGAGTCTCGCTTGTTTCCAGTCCTGGGCCTGCGGCTCTGTCTGTATCACTGGCCTCTCTGCCACAGGCTACGTCGCGTCACTACAAGCCCTGCCGCCCGTTCTAGCACGTTCCTCAATGCCGGCGGACAGCCTGCAGGAGGCCGGAGCTACCGAGCTACCCTGGGTGCACGGGAGCCAGCCCGGGCCCACAAAGGACACAGGCTGGCGGCAGGAGCCCCAGATTCCACCCCAGGGCTGGGTGTACCTGCTTCTCCTCCCCCTTCCACTGACCCCAAGGAGCCACCCTTTTGAGGAGAGCCTCCTGTTTCTGGACACAGTTTCTGGGTCATCCTTCGTGATGACCTCCAACAACGGGCTGAGCTCACCCCAGCCAGTGTGTATGAACTGACAGCTCCCAAGAGGGGCATTTTCTGTCTCCCCTGATGCTGGAAAGAGGACCCCCCCCCCGCCCGCAGCAACAGGAGCGCGGAGGTGCGCCCCACGGGTCTCAGAGCGCAAAGAGCCTCCCTGAGATAGTCGCTCGCCCGCAGCGCGTCCGCCAGCACAGCGGACAGGAGCTTCCGGAGTCCAGCGCCCGCTGCACTCCTCCCCGCCCACAGCAGCCTGGAGGCCCTGGGCAGCGCCGGGCGGCGGGGACGGGACGCCCTCACTCACACCACGCCTGGTGTGCTCCACACGAAAACGCCCCACCGGGGTTCCTGGGGACTGAGCCGGCCGAGGAGGGAGCTGCGAGGTCGCCCTCCCCAGGGGATGCTCCTTCACAGGGAACGACACGAAGGACACAGCCTGATGGGAACGCCTAAGAATAGCCAATCTCTTCTGCTTTACCTCCGCGGTCCCCATCAACCTTCTGACGGGTGGTTTTGTTTCCTAAGGGAGCCTACACACCCACGGGGAGCCACTCAACAACCAGGAGGAAACATCGGGGCAGGCAGATTAACCCGTCTGCAGAGTCCGGCCCGTGCGGAACCACCCCCAGGGTCCATCCTCCTCGGATGAGGGGACCGCCAGGGGACCGGCCAGCCACACCACTGACAGCAGTGTGACCGGAGGGGGAAGCCGGAGCACGTTTGCTGCTCTAATACGGAACCTAGAACACCGGGGAAGCCGATATGAAACGATATACTTTAAAGCTTCTCAAAGTGATTTATAAAGTAGAACCCAAAACAAAATTTCTAGTTCCCACTGGATTTGTATGCTCCTGCAGAGAAAGCTCTGCCCTTTATCTGTGCCTTATTACAAAACATGTCTCGCTAGCTTTTATTTAGGAAACTTCAAAACCAATGCATAATTCAACAGCGTATCAGAAAGTGGGTATTTCAGGGCAGAAAACTCAAGCTAGTTATCAGTCTTCCATCCGCAGGTTCGGCAGCTCAAGAAGCCCTCTGCTCGCCCGGGGCAGGCCCTTCCCTTCCATCGTGCGCGGGCGTCACCCGCGCCCCGCCGCGGCCGCGAGCCCACGGAAGGGAGGTGCAGGGCTCCCTTTCCGTAAAGCTGGTGTCATCGTCAGACGGGGCCACCCCTGCCATGGAGAGCAACCGGCTTCCGGATGGCGGCAGAGCCGTCCATGTGCGGGCTGGAAAAATGCTCATTACATGGCTGCCACCATCACACGGTCTCAACGGCTACAAGGAAATGGACGGGACTTACTGTATTTGCGAAGGACGAGCATCCGTTCCTTTTAAGGAAAAGGCGCTCCCAATTACACAGGGGAGCTGCTCGGTGCCTCTGGACGTTTCTCATCACTGATGACAAGATTCCTAAGACGCTTCCCGGTTATTTTTCAATAAACATCATGAAGGATATCCCAGAAATAGCTACCTTATTAGCGAAGACTAAGAGAGCTACTCTCACTTCAACAAACTATGCTTTTCTCAAGGTGGCACACAGACATACTGCGGTAATTAAAAGGGAAAATGAGATTTTCGTCTGCTCCAGAACAATCCTCTGCCAGCAACGCATCAGAAATGCGTCACAGCAAGAGAGACCTGAGTCGGCAGCAACAAGTGGACGGAATGTTCGACCTAGCAAACGCCCATTCCCTTGATTTCCTAAAACAAGAAGAGCCAAAGAACGACATGATTTCTGAAAGGAAGAAATGCCCCATTCCTTTATAATCTCCTGTCACTTCTAAGCAATTTTCGAACCCAGGCGCAAGGCGCCCGTGGAGCGGCTCCGGGCGGCAGGGAGACCAGGGCCCCCGCGGTCGGCGCCGCCCACACAGACGCGGGGCGCTCCCACACGCCCCGCCGCTGCGAGCCCCTCCCGTGTCCCGGGTACTCGGGAACGGCTCCCCGAACTCTCGGCTGTGGAAACACACGGCACTACCTTGTGAAGCTGCTTCAGGCCGTCTTCGGTCTCGACACAGGACTGCTCAACGTTGTAGTCAATTCTGTCAAGGACCGTACCCTGAGTGAGAGAGGACAGCTACAGACGACCGACAACGGCCACTGGGAACCTGCAGCCGCAGCCGCCATGACCCCAGCACTATCTGTTTTACTCAACCGCTGCCGGGAAGGGGCACTCAGAAAGCTCTGGAACCATCATCAAGCAGTGTGAGGCGCTCAGCGGCAGAGTGCTGTGTTAGTTACATGAAGTCTAACTTGTCCGAAAGAAATACTGACAAACTGAGGTTTCTTTTTCGGATTTAGCCGCTCTAACGTATGCCACAGCTTTAGGAGATACACGGCTGGGTGGAAACAGGCTCTGCGAGGCGAGGGCCTGACTGCTGTGCCCATGGGCTGCTTAAACGCAGAGCGCGCCGGTTAAGCCAGGCCCAGTCACGATTAGGCCTGCAAACTGACCAGCACGCCTGTCAACGTCAACACGGGTGTCCACAGGTCAGAGCAGAGACGGTGAGCTCCGACCCACCATGTAAAATTACACGTTTGCCTCAAGGAGAATTTTGTTTTTAATTGTTTAATCTGTCGGTTCAAACGGAAAGAAGGGAACACCAGGCTGTGTGGAGAACAGCTCTTAATGGAACCCGCTGCATCAGACGAGGTGGCAAGCGCAGTTCCTCGGGAACCGCGGGAGTAATTACTGTAACTAGATCTTCCACGGCCTCAACACTCCACTGTGCAGCTGGTTGCAGGGGGATCAGGACCCAAATCCCTGCTGGCGAGATAATAAAATACCCTAATCAGATTGTAACACTGAACAAACAATTTAATTCTACTTGAAAGCTTGTGGTTCCAGTTGCCCTTACACAGTAACCTGCCAAAATTAGAAGGGAAACCTTATCTACCTCCAGAATCACTGCTGAGTGGGGGCAGAACCCACCAGACGCCCCGGTAGGGTGGTCTCGTCAGCGTCCTTGAAGTACGGGCAGAGAACACGAGACTGTCTACCCATGTTTATCTTTTACTTAAAAAAATAAAACGTTATTAGTAGTTTTATAGGAAACGGACATTAGTGTATGCCTATCATTTGCACATACACAGACCCGTGGAAGCGTGTAAGCACACGTGCACACACACACATGCCTGGGGGGAGGAGGGTCAAATTGCTTCCCGACACGAACGCAGATTGAAGAGTCTCCAGAAGGACCCGATGTCGCGGCAGGAAGACTCGGCGATGAGGAAGGTAAAGCGCATACCTGCTCTACGATCATGGCTCCTAAGTCCCGGAATATCTCATTCAGGTCTGAGATGGACTGCACGATCTGGCGGATCTCCCGCTCCCGCTCCTCCACCATCAGCGTGTTCTGCTCCACCAGCACCAACTGGTCGTCCGTAAAACCCTAGTGACACAAGAAGTCCCGGATCTGTAGCTTTAGGTCCTCCTCTTCCCCCACCACATGGTACACTGTGCGGCTGCAGGTACCATCTAAAGACTGAATTCTGAAGGTACTTCCATAAAGCACATCAACACAACACGTAAGCACTTATTTTTCCCTGACAGGAAAGATCCAAATTCCTAAACAAGCAGGACAGTCTAACGCACTAGGGGCCGAAGCAGGGGACACGAAGAGAACCCGTCTGCAGCTGCGCAGGGCCCAGCAGCAAAACCACCGGGGGAGACCCTGCACTTCTCTGGGTTCGTCCCCACGTGCGGTGCGCGGACTGCTTTCCCGAAGGCTCCGAAGGCAGATGGCAAGGCCTCCTTGCAGCCTACAGAAAGGAAGGAACAGTATGGCCGCCATGACTGTTCTTCCACCTGCTGCAAAAACGACCCGACGGACGTGCAGGTGAAGCAGCGCTGCCCCGTCGGCACTGCGCGGAAGCTACCGGTCTAGGAGGAGAAGGAACAGAGCGGAGCGCAAATGCGCAGCAGCCCGTCGTGCAGCCCCGTCACGTACCCGGTCGTAAAGAGTATTATCGCCTCCATCATCCATTAGTGGTACTGACGTATCAAAAAAATGCTGGGCTCTTTCCTCTCGGTTCTTCATGCCTATCACAGACAGGAATTCACTTTACTCGAATACGTAAACCATCCTGGTTACTGTCCGCCATTAAAAAGGGGAAATCTGGAGTCAAACTCAACAGTCAAAACGGAGATATTCTTAGCTTTAAAAGGAGCCTATCTCCAACAGAGGCGGGGGAGAGCAGAGGGTTATCAACAGGTAACGACATGCAAGCACTGAGGGTTATTCAAGATAAAAATCACACTGTACACGTGTACAATTCACTTGATGCGAAGCGGGTGACAACACGACACTTAAAGCCACCTGAGAGTCTCTAAGTGAGGCAGAAATAGTTCATCTAACTGCTGTTATGAAACTTTTTTTTTAAAAACCAGTATTTCTCTCTAGAAGCGTCTCTAGTAACAACTCCAAACGGCCCGAATCAAATTTCAGAAGTACTGAAATTAAAATACAAGCATGCCAGTTGTCCGAGGGAGGGGGAACTAGGTTTTGGTTTTTGTTTTGTCAGTATGTGGGGACACTACTGATTACAATGGCAACCAAGTAGAACCGTTTATGAGGTAATGCGAATGCGGATGTGGCCAACCAGACTTCCCACCGTCTAGAAGAGAAGGTCGGCTGAGTGGGCCACTAGCGCCAAGCAGCCAGTGGTTCAACCACTCGCACAAGAGGCTTCCAGGCACTCAAATACTTCAGTTGTTGCGGAAATATAAAGCTTTCACGTCATCACAACGCGTTTCTCCGCTTTGTCAGCTGCTTCCCCCAACCCAGCATCTGGAGAGCCACAGGCTTCACAAACGAGCTGGAAGGATTCTCCCCCAGTTCTCGAAGCCGGACGCTTCGCTGCTCGCCGGCTGTCCCGCCAGCCCGCGCTCAGCCTCGTCCAGGCAGCACCTGCCGCGGCGCGGCTGGGGGCGGGGCTTCCGTGGGGGCGGGGCTTCCGTGGGGGCGGGGCTTCCGTGGGCGCCGGAAGGTGCGAACTTCCCGCGGGGGTAATCATGGAGGGCAGAGGAGGAGAGGGAAAAGGAGCAGCAGAAGAGAAGGATGAAAACCGAAGCGGTCCGCAGTCCTAGCGCTGGCATCCTCGCGACCCCCAAGCCCCCAGAGCACCGGTGACACTCACGTTTGAGGTAGCCCGACTGCGCGCGCCGGAAGCCGGTGGACAGCTCCTGCAGAGCCTGCGCCAGCGAGGCCACCACGTTGCGAAGGAGCCGCTCCTCCTGCTCGGAGCAGGCCCTGCGCGCCCGGCTGGGCAGAGCCTGCACGGCTCGCTGGCACCTGTGGAAGAGCTGGGAGAACAAGCGCATGGCTCACAGCGGGCCGGGAAGGGGCCCCGAGCGCCAGCGCCTCCGCACTCGCGTCCCAGGGACGGCAACCGCTCTGTTCACGCAGACGGACCTCGGGAAAGGGGACCAGATCAAAGTTGCCGGAGGCCTCCTCTACATCCTCAGAAAGACCCAACCAGACGGGAAAGGATGCGGGGCACACCTTCTAACGCGTCGTCACGTGTCGCCCCGCTGTTGCCATCTTCTCACTTAACCCCCATGCCCACCCTGGGGCAGGCATTAATTTTACTGTTCCCATTTTATAGATGAGAACACCAGAGTCAGAGGGATGAGAACCATGGCGTTGTTGCCCTGCCAAGAGCTGGGATTCAAACATTCCAACACCCAGGGCTCTCCCGGAGCACCTGGCCCCTCCACTGCGGATCACAACCAGGAGACACAAACAAGTACAGAATATAAGACACTAGAGCTCACACACTAGTCAGCTTACTTAAAAGTTACTCAAGTTGAGCATTTTACAAGAATTTTTCTAGGGTACTAAGTTCCTCAAGGATACCAATATACTTGAGTCTTGGGCAACAGCTCCTGATCTTTTCCAATTACAAGGACCATTTTTTAACATGAATAATTTGTAATCACTAGTACACAATTAAAGGTACACACTTCTAACTCAGTCCGTGGTGGTATCTACCGACCAGAGAAAACCAGCCCCATTCCTCTACAACACATGCTGATTCTTGGGGGAACTCAGAGCCTCATGTCCCTTTGTGAACGTGGGGTTGGGAAGTGTGATCTGATTTAGAGTCTGCACCACGTAATGGCTTTTGAGAGGGTCATGAGAAGCTGGGAAGTGCCCGTCCCCCGGGGTCCATTTCCACCCTCACCTGAGTGATCTCTTGGGCGGTTATTTCGATGGCGCGTTCTTGCTCGCCGCTGTCATCCAGGGTGGGTCTGTTTAAATGCTGGTCATGAAGGCTGGCTAACTCCTTCATCTTCTGTTTGATCCGGCCGACATCATACTGTATCTAAACAAATGAAATCACCAGGACCCCACTGATGCCCGCCAGGCGTCGTCCGCCTCCCAGACAATTCGCTGCACCCGAGTACGAGCGCAGGCTTCGGCCGACTTGTAGGCTCACTGACGCGTGAGCAACTTTTCATTCAAACACCCCTCCTCGTCACACAGCTCTTCAGTTTCCCTCTATAATCCAGGTAGTCACTCCTAACGCCAAGATCGCTCACACACACACACCTCTTCTTGTGGTGTGTGACCTGAATGAACCTAAAGCAAAGTATTTCCAGGGACGTGCACTCAAGTGTAACCAGATCAGTCTTTATGGCAGAGAGCGTAACAGACGTCGGCATCATAATGACTTACAGAAATAAGAAAGTATGAAACTAACATTCAACTTACTTCATCCACTCCATCCACCCATTTCGGAGGTGACCGTTTTGTCACGCCAATTGCTGCTTCTGGATCTAAGCTAATGCCTGACACCAGAGCCATACGGTCATCAGCAAGCTACGGGGAAATAAAGGGACATGAAAAAACATCATTCAGATTCCACTCTGATAGGCAAACTCTTACACCCTCTTAAATGTCGCTCCCTAAGAAGACAAAAAAATGGAGGAGTAAGTGCACTTGCCTGATCATAAGCTTGCTCTGAAACTGCTAGGATTTGGGACTGTTTTCCTATCTTTTCATGCACCAGTTCTTAATTTTCTTGGACATACTTGTGAACATGAATTTGACTTGATCTGGCTATAGAAATGTAATAAAAAAAATCAACAGAAGATCCTTAACAGAAAGACCTCTTAGTACTAGTACTGTAACACACGACGGCATGAGCCTCAAAAATTAATGCAATCAGATACAAGTTAAAAAAAAACACTAGGTTACAAATGGACTCAAACAAAACGTTCAACAGGAGCGAGGTTCACTCTCACACATTTAGCTTATTTTGGAAATGGGGCTGATCCAGTTATCTTGGTCACGAGATCATTAACTGTGTGTTAAAATCTGTGAAAGAACTGCCTAAAACGATTAGCAAATTACCCACCATTTGGCTAAAGCCATCCTGAAAAATCTGACTGCAATCCTGACTGCCGCTTCCTTTCTTCAGCTCAATGTCCACAGGCAACGTTTTCACTTATTTTGAAATGATACCGAGAGTTCCCGTTGATTTTTCCTGCATAAGACACTGCCTTAGAAAGCCTGGAAGATGGGGAGGGTGACCGTGGGTCTGGCTTGGTTAAGCTGTTCTCTTGCCTAGAGGCAGAATCCTGAGGTGCCTCCAGAGCTCAGAATTTAGAACTGCCAGTTTCCAAAGATCCAAACGATGATCAAAAAATAATGGAAAACAATATATAAAAGTCTTGTACAGGTAATACTTTGTAAATTTTCTAAATCATACTGCAGAATTGGGTGAAGAATTTATATTGCTTTTCTTCCCCCTTCCTTGCATTTATCTAAATTTATTTTTTCATTCATTTAGCAAATACTTGTTTGCTTTTCTAATAAAGGAACAAGGCAAAATTTAAAAATCCACAGATAAAGGGGAAAAACAGAATGTAAGGAAAAACCTACATTAAAAAAATTCTTCAAGTAATAAGCCCTAAATCCTGAACAGTTTATGGCAAAATTCTTACAAGCAAACTGGGGTCTTGCATCTGCCCCTGCCCCACTCCACCACCTCGCCCAGTTCTGCCCCCAGGGGCGTAGGGCCTTCTGTGCATTCACAGATCACACCGTGTGCGACGACCACAAGGAAGGGACCAGAATCCTTGTAACTGCTCCCGGAACGTCTGTGAGTCGTGATTAAGTCACCAGCATTCCGCCGCCGCGTGGACCCTACAGGACCACGGTGTCATCTGCGGTTGTAAACAAGCCGTGTGTCATCCAACCTGCGCGATCTGGGGCTGAGTCCACGAAGCGCTAACCCTCAGGCGCAGCTCGCTTTTCAGAGCTCCCTAATAGGGATCTTATGTCCTTTGTATTGTTTTGGTCCTCACAGAAACTAGGTGAGCTAGGAGCTATTATTCCAATCTGTAAATGAGGAAACTGAAACTCGGAAAAGTTAAGGAGCTTGCCCAAGGTCACAAAGCTATCCCGGGACAGACGACCACCGGGCGGGCGGACTCCAGAAGCCCCATCTACTGCATGAGCAGCCCGGCACTTTGGAAGGCCCGGGAAACAGAACTGCAATTTGCTAAGAAAACAAATCAGGACAACAAGCCTCCAGATTGAAACACCACCAGGAAACACAGTCCTCAGCCCCAGTCCCCCCACCAGCGGTGCTTGGGACTACAGGGCAGGCTCCCAGGGAGCGCAGAGGCCAAAGTGGCCTCCCTCCCTGACCCTCTGTGGACGCGGCGATGAGGGTCAGACTCATCCTAGACAGAGCAGGACAGACAGCAAGCAGCGGAGCTGTCAGTTCCTCCAACTCCTGCTCCGACGTCCCCAGGAGGTGCGCAACCTCGTGCAGGGCAGAGGGACCAAGGCAGGAGGGGCTGGCCATGCACACAGCGGTGCTGGACACAGAGCCGTGGGCCTGCGGGAGCAGAACGGGAACCTCCACCTCCAACTCTTAAAACTCAGCAAGGCCCAGAGCTGCTGCGGTGCCTCCTCACGGGCGACACTGCTCTTGCGATCCTGGCTTATTACCCGGCCCGCTATGTTTTATTATTGTATCATTTTCAATGGCGTAATAATTTGCTTTACTTATGGTTTTTAAACTCAGGATCTCACTTTGTACTGTTTTTACAAATATACTGAACTAAAAAGATACAGAGATGGTATTTATCTAAATTTATCTGGATAGTAATTAGTATCACTTTAGCTGAAACGAATGAGACACTGTCAGATGAGAAAAGTCAGTTGGAAGTGGACTCACCTCTTTTCAGCAGTACTTAATTTTACACAAGAGCTGTGTTCCCCCCAAAAATGCATGTAAGTTAAAACTGGGGCAAACACATTTCTCTTCAAATGTTCTAAGGAAGCCTGCTAATGAAGAGACCCCCGCCCATAGGGGACAGATGCCAGCTGGCCAAGCTGGCCCTAGCATCCCCTACACTGCATCAGGGTTTTGCCAACTTGAAAAATGGGAAAACCTGTCCCCTCTCTAACATAGTCTATAGCCATGCTTATCGTGAAAAAGAAATTCAGCAGTACTTGGATGAAATGTGTCATTTATTTTCTCAGTACAAACTTTAAATTTAAAAAACCACATTGTTTTGAGAAGAGTAAACACAACTGAAGATAAATGTCAATTATTTGAAAGAGGAACAAAGATGAACATTAAAAAAATATATTTTAAGTGCAAAACAATCACCCTTTCAGTTTCAGAAACCTCACTTCACATTTGAGAACATGTTTTCTTATTTTTTTAAGACCCAGGACATATCAGTTTTCAAGCTGCCATTCTAGCCAACACAGGCTTTAAAAATGGCCAGATTTTTAATTCTCTTTACTCATCCTGGCTGAATTTCAACTTAGTCCCCTCTCTGAATATAAGACACCGGTCTTTAAAGCTTTTCTTAAATGAACTTGTGCTTCTCAAGTAAAATATCTTCCCCTATTTTTTAAGTTAAAAAAAAAAATTAGTAAAAATTGTACTCATAAGAATATCAGAATTCCTGTCTCTGATTTGTGGCTCTGTCCTCCAAGAACTGTGGGGGTGTGTGACCCTAACCCAGGGTTGCACAGGAAAATTCCAACAGAAGCTCAAAACAGCATACCCAAAAGGCTTCTTACTAGTCTCACTCAAGTCATCTTTCGCCCTTGATCCACTTTGGACGTTGACATTCGCCCCTAAAAGAGCACCAGACGGTACGGACAAGCTCTTGATCTATGGAAGGAACGCACACACACACAGACTCCTATAAATCTGGCTGCTCCGAATACAGAGCCTCTCTACTCTTAGAAAACCCTGAGTTAGTGTACTGCAAGATTAAGGACAAGGCAAAGCCTCTGTTGAGATTAGCATGGTCAGACCCACTCCCCCCCACCCCCCCGACCCTACTTCTAAAAATAAAATAAACAAACTACGTTCAGTCATAATGCATTGGCAACAAGAAACAATACCGACAATTCTGGATCGCTTGTGGCAATGAACAGTTAAAAAGGCCAGAAGGGACGCTGAAAATTACAGCCCGGCCACCCTCGCTTCCACGTGGGAGAATTAGGAGCGCATATGATGAAGTCAGGCCACAGGCATAACTCAATCAAGGGATGTCAGCACTACCATGTGTTTTTAAAAATCTGTGAAAGTTTTAAAATAGTGATTACTTTTTCTGATTATGAAACAATAAATGTTCAAAACAGACACCTTTTTAAATATACAAAAAAATACAGAAATAAAAAATCAGAGAATCACACCATCCAGACAGATATAAATGCTGCTAGTTTCACTGATTTTCCTTTCTTCTCAATTATTATACACATCCTTAAAAAAAATCAGTAGGGAGCAATGATGGCCTGAGTTGTCGGTGCTGCCCTTCCACTAAATTGATCTCTGTATCCCAACAAGTCTTTGGAGGGGACTGCCCCCTGTTGTACAAATATGGACAATGAGCCCCTGCCTCCTCCCTACCACCGGCCGGCTCCCCCATGACGGACATTCTCAGCAGGCGACCGGTGGGCCCAGTCTGGGGCCCCCATGTCCCCACTGTATCACTCCCCGCTGCCTAGGATACGTGGTTGGAGAGCTTGACATTTACTTCTTGTAATTTTTTATTACGTCCTATTATGAATTTTAAAAACCCAACAGCTTGGGAGATGACTTTGTTATACAAGAGGAAGTAGATTAGAGCAGGGAGCAAAAGGAGAGGGCCAGATACTTCCCTGGGTTAAGAGAGTAGGGACACCGCACTTGGTCCTTCTGGAGAAGGAAGAAGAGTGGTCCCCCAGGCTGCAGACTTTCAAGCTGATTTAAGTAGAATGACAGTCTAGTGTGGACACACTACGGAGCGTCACCGAACAGGATGGCTCTACTCTGGGAGACCCAAGGGGTGCAGTCAGCAAAGTCTGCCCAGACCTCAACTTGAAGGGGTGTGCTTCCACCTACCTCACGCCCAGAACCAGGTGGTCACTCTCACCACTCCCAGAAGGCACTAATTTGCAGCACCCCTGCAGCTCCGGTGAGGCGGGGCTCTGGACATCCTTCCCAAACATCCCCAGCCCCTACCTCAGCACCTGGGAATTTAGCAGTAACAAGTATACAATTATAACTAGCTGAGTCACCAGTAAGGAGATGGAACGAAGTAAATAAAATGCAATTCTGGAAGCTACACTCCATAAAAGATGGAATGGGTCTGGACAAAGGACACGGAGGGCCAAGTGAAGCGCTCGAGAGCACGAGGAGGCCCCGTGCACAGGGACGGGGACTGGGCTTTGAGCCCAGAGAATTCTGACAGCACGTGAGCTGTGTGTGGCGAAGGGGCTCTCCACGCAGGGTCTCTGGTGACAATGTGGAGAGCCCCTTTAAACGCCCAGAAGCTAAGAAGAAAAGCAGAAGGGCCTGCTAGCTCCAAGAGTGGAAGGAGGAAAGACTGGAAATTGGCTCAGAGGGCCAATCCTGAGTACCCTGACTTTAGATGCGATCCCCGTGTGGACAGTGGTCAATGCTTCTTCAACCCAAGTTGTCCTGTTGCTATCTGTCCCCCATCGCACACTTCCCTTTGGGGGCCATAAGACCCGTATCTCCGAACTGTTCAACAAGGGGGAAAATCTGTTCTACAAGGCCTCCTCCCTAAGCCCCAGACCTTCACGCGGCTGGAGGCTGGTCAGCAAAGCCATGGCACGTGGCTCAATGAGCTACCCGCTTAAGGGTAGCTGCTTTTAAATCCTAATTGTTTTTTAATGACAAAAGTAATACATGCACATGTTTGAAAAACGGATATCCAACCAGAAAAAGGTAAGCAATGAAAGAAGTTTCTCGTCCGTCCCAAACTTTTCCTGGATGGTGTCCACTGCAAACTGTTTATTGTGTCTCTTCAGAAACCTTCTAAGTACACACAAGCACCAATGTGAGTCCTTCTTCTCTAAATCAGAAACCGAGAGAGCGGGAATCACATCGTGCGTGCTATCTGGTCCCGGGCTCCTTTGCACTCAGCCATGGGTCTGGGAGCTCAGGGGGCTGCGGCCCGCGGGGAAGGGCTACGCTCGGTCAGAGGGACGGAGCATCAGGACGCGATCTACCTCGCTTATTTCACTAGTTCTCCATGTGGGATATTGAGGTTGTCCCCTGTCCGTTGCTATTATCAACGAGTTAAAAAGGATTTTAAAGCTTACAGGTAGATCTTTACCTTCCGGTTAGGAGCCCCAACGGTTTTGAAGATAGTCACCCTAATCCCAGCTCACTGGTCAGACTTCTAAATTAAAAAAAAAAAAAACGAAAACAAAAAACACCCCCCTCCATTACTCTTTTTAAAAGGTCTACCCTCAGGAAAAATATTTTTACCCCTTTGCTGCTGAAATGAGTGATGGAGACACAAAACGGACAGCCACAGTTCAATCTCCTTGCCCCTCGACCCTTCCATTAGCGCTTCTAGAATAAAGTGCTAGGAATACGCACCCTCTTCATCTTCTGGGTGAACTGTCAGTAAGTCAGGAAAAGGCCAAAAGTGTGCTGCTGGGAAGGGGGCAGAAAGCAGATGCCGCACTCCCCAGCTCAGTGAGCACGCACGGGGGCTCACCAGCCTCACCCCAAACACTGGGCTTGGAAGCCTCCCGGGCGGGTCCCCGGGGCCTGAGCCCTCCTTCCTTCGGGCTCTCCCCAGACATCACGTCCTTCCGTACTCCATGTGAGTTACACACATAATCCTAAAAACAATCTGGGTTTTTGGAAGTGCAAGAAAAGGCTCCATCTTTACTGCTGCCAAAGTCGAGACACTTTCCTAAGAGCAGTAAATAATAGTTCCTTAAGCCCTTCCCTAAACCACCAATTTACCTGGTGTGAAAGCATATTAAATAAATCCTGAGGATTAAATTGTTAAGCACAACAATTATAGGTAATCAAAATAAATGCTAAAATATATATAAGCTCTGTTGGTGTTCTGTATATGACCAAAGACTTCAGGAAAAATCCGACATCATTTTATTAACTAACATACAAAAATATTCAAAACACAATACCTCATCCAGCTCCTGAAGAGGCATGTCGTTCCCACCAGTCCCATCCAGTTAGGGATAGCAAAGAGAAAAAGAAGGATGGGGACAGACAGATAAGGTATGGTCAGTTGAGAGAACACTGATCTTAAGCAACTCTAAAGCAAACTAAAAATAAAGATCCACTAACCCAGGCATTTAAAAAAATCTTCCCCTTTTGATTGTTCCTTTAAAAAAAAAAAATCTACATCAATATATATTTTTCTTTATTTACTGTGATTGTTGTTTTGGTGAATGAAATAGGAAACAAACAATAAACAGCTGTAAAAATTAAAATACAATAAACAAATAAAATACACTCGCTTTACTTTCACTAAAATATAATGCCAATCTGTTTCGTAAATATAAACTATCACACACAATATTCTAAATTTCCCTTAGGAAGATTAAAAAAAAAAAAAGAAAGCAAAGCTAAAATGCAGTTTCACTGTGTCAAATACATGTACATTCAGCATGTAAATCAGCCCTGCAAATGCAGCAAAATTAGAAAATGAACACCCCACAAAAATCATCTATGGCTGTATTCAGATAATATTTGAGTGACCACACATGTAAGGTCTCTACAAATTCAATCCCGCAGACACGGCTTTATCCATGGTAATAAGCAAGCCGAGAAACCATTCTTCCCCGGAGAGAGACACAGGTGGTAAAAGAAAAGAAAAACTCTTCCCATTTGCTGGCCATATATTATTACTAGCCCAGAAAGCACATAGTTATTTATAAAGCTATTAGAAAAGCAAGTAAACAAAACAAAACAAAAAGATAAGGAGAGATTTTTTTTTTCCTAAGGGGGGTAGGAAGGAAGCAGCACCGGCAGCCAGAGGATTAAGTTTCAATTTAAAACTAAAGGTCCTTTTCCAGATCAACATGGAACTTTATCTTCTGAACAGATATTTACTAATGATGCATAATCTACACAACGAGGTCTTTTTTTCTTTTGTGTAGTATTGATCAGTGAAATAATTACTGGTAAATTTCAATAATCAACTGTTTTTTTTTTTAATGCTTAGCAGTAAATTTAGAAAATTAAAAACATAACTTTCTTATTTAAAAATTAATAGTGCAAATGAAACTGGTCTATCAGGGCCAAAATATTATTAAACAATGACAGTAATAAAAAGTGTAATCAAGCAATATTCCTCCATGTAAAAATTCAATTAGCTGACATTATAGAAAGCTGAAAGTCCTCTTCATTCCTCCCACAATTTGCTTTGAGAGCAAAGTGAACTCTATTTATATACACACCTGCCGTTGACAGTAGTACCAGAACATTTTAACAGAGAAGATAGTGTCAAATGGAAATCTGATTTAATTACCTTTTACTTTAAAAAGAAAAAAAGAAAATGTTTCTATTTTTTAAAAGCTTTAACATTTTCATCAAGAAAGCACTGAAATGTTTGTATTAATAAAACAAGGCACAGGGCAAACCCCTAACTTCAGGGTCTCCGTCCGTCCATCTGCCTGTTCTGCAGCAGCTCCTTGGCATCTGATCTTTGAACAAAGTGTCACTGCAAACCACGGTTAAGATCTCTGCCGCTCGGGAGCCTGTCCTTGATTATTAACCAAGCACACACACTCTGATCTTTTGGTTTCTACAATTATTAGTTGCTAAGAGGTGAAATCAGAATCACCGGCTAGGTAAGACACTCTCTATCGCAAGTAAGAAAACTAAGCTTCAAAATCTATAAATCCATTTCCCCAATCTCAGAGCTTAATGGCTGAGATGAGGACAGACCCAGGTGTTTGGGCCGCCTTCCACCCCACCTTCCAGCATTTCTAATTTTATTAACAATTCAGGGAATTACTAGCCATAGGCAGCTACTACCATACCACATCTGGAATTAAATTCAGAAGGTCATCTTTTCAAAGAGCCCCCACCCCCACCCCCGCCAATCCCATTTTGCTATTCAAAAAGAGAAGGCCTTCAAAACTCCCCCAGCCACCAAATTACCAGAAAATTCTGTCAGGACCCAAATTAAAACATTTAGAATTACCATAAGGAAAAACCAAAATATAGCCAAATGAAAACACGTTACTATACATCATCACCTTCTAAATCTTTACAATGTCTAAATCTAGGTTTCTGACCTGCTCATGGCATATAATCAAGCAAATATTGAAACTCCAAGCAGCATGTGGAATTTATAGTCTAAAGAACTTTCTACATAAAACTGAAAAGTAAGTGGAAACCCATCTGTGTTTACTCAGGAAGTCTGGGAAAGTTGAGCAAACGGAGTTGGAAGCACAGGTCTATGCTATGGTGCTGTTTACTTTATTTCCGTTACTGCACAAATAAAAGTTTGCTTCACTTTTATCCAACAAAGTACCCTTATTCTCAAATAAGCCTCACTGCTCAAAGGGAATCTTTAGAGACAGGAAAGCAAATGAATCTAAAGAGAAATATACAATGATTTCATACTTGGATTCTAAAGACAGAGAATTAATTTTCCAACAGACTCAGTGGGGACTAGAACCTTCAATATGCTGGTAAAAATGGACTCTGTGGTTGCTAACTGACATACAGAAGATGCTAGCCTAGTGCAAGAAAAAGAAAAAAAAAAAAAAAAAGATTTAAACAATGGGTTCTTCCATTTCCCAGGACCTGCGCCACGAGTCCTGGAAAGGCAGCCAGCACTGCTGTGGCCCAGTGGGTTAGCACGGGCCTCTGGAGCCAGGGTCGCCCGAGGCCCCATCCCAGCACCCTGACTCGCCAGGCAGGTGGCACTGGGCAAGCTCCCTGACTCCTGCAAACCTCAGTTCCCTCATCTGTCTCATGAGAAAAACAACAGCACCTGTGTGACAGAGCTCTGTGAGGATGAAATGAGGCCATACACGGAAAGTGCCCGCGTGCACAGAGCCCCAGTGCCAGGCACACAGTCAGCTCTCAGTAAGCCTTGGCAAATATTACCGTCAAGACTGACGAAGGATTTCAGATTTCCTACAACCTTAGTTAATCCTGAGTGTCATTTTTTCCCCTAAAGCATACCATGTTTCATTAAAAATAATGTGCTGGTTCCAAACTAATCTAAGGCCAATTAACCCCAGCTTCCATTTACAGATTGGGCGTTATTTTCAAGCAGAGGACAGGTCAGGCAGTGAACGCTAACCTGTCGCTCCAATCTCTCACTCAGATCCGTCCCAGATCAAAGCAATCACCCGCGTCCTACAGCACCTCATTAGATGGAACAACAACTCAACAACTACGTTTCATTAATTTAAGACTTTACACGTTTTTTGGAATGTTTACTTTATTTTGTAAATTCATTTCAGCTACTTAAAGCCAAGCTGCCTGTAACTGCTTGAATGAGGTGATGCCTTAAAACCTGCACTTGGCCAAACAATGTCAAGAGTTATTTCTGCAAAGCACTGGAGCTGCTTCCCGGGATTTCTGCGTGACACCGGGCTGACAGGCACGGGGATGCTGTGGACTACTTCTCCTTTTTAAATGAAAGCTAGGGCTGTGTGCTGGGCCAGGAGAAACTGTATTGAAACCCTAGAAATCACCTAACTTAAGCCCCTCAACTTATAAATAAGGCAAAGACGTCGGAAGGGTTTAAAAAGCTTGCCTACAGACACATTCTGGGTCAGCCGCAAAGTGCGACGACGTAACCCTAAATTCCCAGACTTCAAGTCCTGCGCCTTCCTTTATTTCACACCTGCCCTTGCGGCACAGCGGTGATGGGGGAGCCCACAGTGAGGCCCAAACACAATGAATGAGAAATGCCAACCACTGCATTTTGCTCCACATCTAAAAATCAAACCCCAGTCTGTTTCTAACAATTAGTTTTACCAGTATCAGTACAAGGAAAAACACAATGAAGTGGAATTTTGTTCAGTTCTGGGTGGTAAACTTGAAAAAGCATACAGAAACACTAGGTTTCATTCACAGGCAAGAAACTTAACCAGGCTGTCTGAGCAGGGACTGCTGAGCTAGACGGAGAAAGCTCTCGGCAACGTGAAGGCTACAGGGCTATCGTGCAGAAGGAAGAGGCTTCCCGTGTCAGAGACCCCGAGGGCCAGAACCCAAGCTAGGACCACAGGACACAAGGTACAGAGTTGGGGTTCATATGGGCAAAGACTTTTTTTGGTAGCACAAGAGGTGGAATGACTGGCTGCTGGAATTTCCTACAGCCATCACAGAATGTGGTCAAGGAAGAGAGGCACAGGGGTTATCATAGAGGGGATGTCGGGTCAAGGACCTTTAGGTCTCTGCTGGCCCAGGGGATTTTGTTTTGTCGCTGTACATCCTCCTTAAATTCCTGCTTAGCTGTGACATATTTGCCTGAACGCTGCAAAAACCTCTTTTATTATGCATGCATGTAGGTATGCACAATAAGCCCCCCCCCACCCAACTTCTGGGGGTTTATCTCCCCTCCAAGTAGGATGCAAAAAAAAAAAAAAAAAAAAGCATGTTTAAGTTTCTTGAATGATACGGCTTTAGGTGTACTTTGTTTTGAGGTGTGAGATATACACACATGCATACATCTTGACAATTTCCACAGCTTTTTCCTTAAATAAGGATGTGAACGTTCAGATTTAAAACTTGAAAAAAAAAAAACCAACCCCAAACTATCAGTTCAACGTGATTTACTGATTTCTTTTGGGTTGTGTGTGAGGTAACAAACACACACTAAAATCAACTTCTACAGCTTTTTCTTCTAACTAGGAACTAGAAAATTCAGGTTATGATTTTTTAAATTAAGTTAAACTCTAAAATTTAGTTGCTTCCTTTTTAATTACCCAAGTTTTACGTATGTGCAAATTGTCTCCTTTTAATTATTTTTCTCACGTTTTTAGTGACCTGTATATATCTTTTAAGTTTTTATTTACAATTTTTCAAACATACAGAAAAGTATGTAAAATGGTATAATGTCACCCCACAGTCCTCAACAGGCTTAACAATCAGTAATACTTTCCCTTATTTGTTTCATCTTGGGGGGGGGGTTAAGTATATAAAAAAGTGGCATTTTAACATTTTACTACTAAACATTTCAGTAGGTATCTCTGATAAAATTAACAAACTTAATTATAATTAATTAACTCATCATTACTAATATCACCTAAAACCCAGTCTATTTTCAAATTTAACAACTATGATTTTCTTTGATTTGCTACTCGGTTATGAAATTTCCAATTCAGAAACAAGGTGTTAGCCTTTCTATGAGCTAGATACGCAGAGAAAACACTGCCTAAGTTATTTGATAAAGTTTTAAAAAATTGTGTTAGACATGGCTTTCTTCCCAAATGTTTACAGCACTTTTCCAACTTCCAGAAAAGTCGAAAGAATTATACCCTGTACTTAGTCATGTTAACACTTGCCATGTTTGATTTTGTGTGTGTGTGTGTGCAGAACCGTTTCTGTTGAATCAATTGTAAGCAAACTGAAGATATAATACTTTGCCCCTGAACGCTTCAGAAAAATCTGACAGCCATGTGTTTTTTTAATGTGCACAAAAATATGAATGTGTATTTTCTTTTTAAATTCTAACTTAAGCCATTTTTGTTTAATTGCAAATTCTGTTTTTTAGATCCTCTGAACTGACTACAAGGATATTTTACATGATCTGACTGCTTACAATCTGAGAAAAATTCCAGACTAATCGAGGTATGCAGTATTTTAAATGGTAAAATATACAGAACATATCTTTGAATGTTCTGAGATGTGTGTATTTAGTCTGATCCTGAAATCTATTTTCAAGAAATTGTCTGAGTTTGCTATACATATCTGCACCTTTTGTTGACATATCTATTTTTCCGAATTGTATACTCCAACCATCCATATTTAATTATCTGCCTTAGCTTATATATATATACATATTTTTTTTTAATTGCCCAACGTAGAAAACCATTTTTAAAAAATCTGTTTGACTTAAAGATGCACTTTTAAAAAAAGCTTCCCGGCTTAGACACCAGGTTTTTAAACTGTCTGATTTAATAATTAATAAGAATAAAAGTCTCGTGTTACCCAATGGTTCAGGGCGTTTTGAACCTTATATACGATTAAAAATTTAAAAGCAAACAACGTTTTTCAATAAATTAAAACTGATACCTTAGAAACATTAATGCGAGTTTTAGTTCTGTGGGGTTTTTCTCCCCCATCAGTAGCATAAAATCAAGCCATGTAAGGAATATGCAATTTTGACATCTTATTTGATAAAACTGAAATTCCATTGAGGAGTTTTATTCATTCGGTTTCTACTCTCTAATTCTTGGCTTATTTCAGAACCTTCTTTCCTAAATCTGCACTGGAATTAGCCCGCGTCCATTTACACTTATTTCCGTATAATAAGATTTCTTTAGTTAGCATGCAGGAAAAAAAAAATTCAAATTCTTAAGCAAATAAAAATCTAAACACACCCCATCCCTGTTTTCTATGCTTTTAGACCTGACTACACTATTTTATTCCTCAAACTGTTCACATGGCTTGAAACAGTTTTTCTATAGGAGCAATATGGCCAAAGACATTTTCTACTTGTGATTTACAAAAAGGAAAAACTGTCTTTGTGGATGGTCTTTCCATCACCAGGACACATGGCATGATTTTCAGAAGCATTCGGTAAAGTCATAAAGGAAAAAAATTAAGAAGCAATATGGTCCCTAAGGGGAGAAATAACTGTGAGATCCCCAAAGCTGCGTGTCTCAAGTATAATGCCTGAGAGTCTGGTTTGGGGGTCACTTTATTTCCCTCCCCCTGCCTGTCTGCAGCAAGGAGGACACCCCCCCCCCCCCCCGCGAGCCAGTTTTGTCACTTCACTTTTCAATTTCGGGTACTCCAGGGCTCATCGCCGGCCGGCACGGAGCACCCAGACCCCTCGCCTTATTTATCAGAGCAAGAAAGAGCAAGAAACCGAGGCTCAGAAAGGGAAAGCAGACCTCTTCGAAAACAAACAAAACCACCTCAGTCATCCTCCCCGGCCTCCCTGGTAGACTCCACCGCGGGGCTAAAGAAAGGTTCAGGTAATTAAATCAAAAAAACATGGGCTATTCTAAAGGTTAGTTTTCACATACACACCATGGTTTTTTTTGTTGTTGTTGTTGTTTTTAAAGTTCGAATGGAGGGAAAAGCTTAATTTCCTGTGTGGGAAATGGAAAACGAAGATCCTAGCACCTCAGTCGCACACACACGAGCCCCCGGGAACAACAGCGAGGCGATCATTCACGGGGAACGCGGCCCCATCCTGGCGGCGAGGCCAGGAGAAGAAAACGGGTGGGGAAAAAAACAACAAAAAACAAAACAAAACACACACACACACGCACAACCCCACTGCTTCCTCGTTTGGGGGGGGGAGGGTGCCGTGCATTTGCAAGGATGGGGGTTCTACGAGCCCGCAACCCGGCCATCAGGACCAAAGTGAGGCCCCGTATGGGGGTGGGAGGCGGGGGGGAGGAGGGGGGCTGAAACAAAACGAGACAAAAAGGCTTCAGAAAGGCCCCAATTTTCCCCCAATCTTCGTGTTAAAACATATGTAAATTGGAGGCGGCCAGTCGTGCGGTGACGGCCGCGGCGGGGGTGGGGTGGGGGAGGGGTGCGGAAGTGAGCAGGAGCGGGCCAGGCCGAGCTGCAGCGGGGGCCTCCAGCCGCTTGCTCCCCAGCCGGGGTGAGAGGCGTGCCCGGCCCGCGCCGGGGGGCCTGGCGCTTCCGACCACTCTCAGTCTCATGACTCTTATCTTGTTTTTTTTAAACAGAGAGACAGACAGAGACAGACAGACAGGCAGAGCCGCCGTGCACACGGCGCGCGTGTCGGAGAGGCCGCCGGGAGACTCACCGCAGCAATGCTACGTGAATGCAGAGGGCTGGAGGTGGTGTGACTACTCACTTGCTCGGCTAACAGCTGCCGGTTTTGGATGGAATTATTCCGCAACAACAAGAAAGCGTCGGTTAAACGCCTGGTGGCCATGGCTCACCCTCTGGGACCCCCCTCTCGGGCCCCCCGCCCACTGAGCGTCCTGGTTTATTCACTTTCTTTCTCTCGGCCTGGCCCAGGCGGCCCGCCCTGCACGGAAACCCCTCTGGACAAGGCCTCGAGCCCAACAGGCACAGCTTTGCGCCTCGCCAAAGCGCGGAGACCCCTCCCCAAATAACCACCTAGGCTTTCCAATGGTCTGACTCCCCCTACTCAGGCCTGCCTTCGATCTCTAAGCACTTGAATCCCCCCAATCCTTGCCTGGCTGGCCAACGTCCCAGAGACCCCACCCCAATCCAACCTTGGATCTACAAGCGTCTAACTCGCCAATCCGGCTCTGGACTGGGAGGCTCTGAAGCCCCCTACCCCCCTTTAGTCTCTGAGACCCCCAAGGGTCTGTGCCCCCTGCCCCTAACTTGGCTCGCAGGCCTCGAGGCCCGGCCCTGAGGCCTGCCTCTGACTCAGTTTCCCCACAAGAGGCCTGGCCCAGGCCTCCTTTGGACAACCCCGGGACAGGCCTGGGCCCTGAACTCCAAGGCGCCTGGCCCTCCCTTCCTGGGCCTGGTGGGAGCCGGCTAAGGCCCGGGCCCGACCTCCTGACCCCTTCCCTTTCTGGGCGGCCTGGTCCTCCACTGCCACAGCGGCCTGCCGGCCTCCAGGAGGGCAGCAGGGCCTGCCTCCCCAGCCTCCTCACTCCTCTTCTCCGGCTCCCTCCATCCCCGGATCTGACTGCAACTCAGCCCCGGGCCGTTTCCGTGCTGTGGTCCCGGGTTCTGGCGTCCCCCCGGCCCTCTTCCTGTCCGTCCCTCGCGAGTGCCCCCCTGCGACGTTCACAAGGCTTGCTCGCAACGTTCCGGGCGCGGGAGCTCCCTGCCCCCTGCCCCAGGGCGCGGGAGCGCTCCGCCCTCTTCCCGGGGTGCTCCCGGGGCGCCCGCTTTCCCCTTCCCAAACTGGGCCCCGGGGCCGGGGGAAGCGCACGAGCGGGTCGGCCTGAGTCTCAGAAGCGTGGCCCCCGGCCGCACACGGTCGCCAGGGGCTTTGGCGCGCACATTAGAGTGGAGCCGAGCGGCAGGCAAATTCGCGCCCGGGCAGAGGCGAAGTTTGAGGCGCGCGCGGAGCCGGGGCGGGAACGGAAAAGTTGGCGGCGACTGCCTCTGGAGGCCGAGCACGCTCCACTGCAGGCGGCGGCTCGCGCTCGCCTTTTTTTTTTTTTTTCCCCCCCAATTCTGAGAAAAGATGTATCCGAAAACAACCAGGAGAGGGAAGAAAAAAAAAAAAAAAAAAAAAGCCAGAGCCAGAGCCGGAGCTCCAGGCCGCCCGGGCCGCGCCGCCGCTGGCAGTCGGGGGTCACGGGGGGCGCCGGCCCTCCCCGGCGGCCGCCTTCTGTAGGGGGCACTGCAGGGTCGTAGAATTTCAAGTGGAAAAGTTCCCCGAAACTTGGACAGCCCCCCACCCTGCCCCTGCCCAACTTTTTCCTTCGCAGCGAGCCCGGGGCCGCGTGCTGGGCCTGCCGCGGCGCCCCCTCCACGACGAGCCCCGCAGCGCCCCGACGTCCCACGGGCCAGCGGGGCCGCCCTGGGGTCCGCTCCCCTGAGGACCCGGGCCCGGAGGCGGCGGGCAGGGGCTCCGCGGGGCTCGGGCCTCCCGGACCCCAGCGCGGCGAGCCGGGATCAGCCGGGCGGCCGAGGCCCGAGCCCCGCCAACCGTCTGACCCGGGGCCGTCCCACGGACACCCCGAGGCCGAGGCCCGAGCCGGGCGCGGCGTGGACCCAAGCGGGCCGGGGTCGCGGAGCCGGGCGGCCGCGCCTCCCCGGGGCCCGAGGGATCTGGCTCCGAGGCCGGGCGAGCCGGGACCCCCACCGCGGGAGTCCCCGGCGGGGCTCGGCCATGGGGTCCCCGCGGCGGGAGGTCGCCCGAGCCTGGGAGTGAGCCCTCGCGCCTCCGTGGGCTCCTGCGTTCACCCAACTTTGCACACGCGCGTGTCTGCCGGGTTCCCGCGTGCCGAGCGCGGCGCTCGCGGCGAGAACCGGCGGCCGCGACCCGCTCCCCGGGCGGCGGCGCCGAGCCAGCCGCGGCCCACACCGCCCGCCCGCCCTTCGGGGAGCCCTCGGGGTCCCGGGCCGGGGCGACCCGCGCGTCTCTTTGCTTTTCTCCTGGAGAATGTGCCTATGGGCGCTCGTGACACTAAAACGAACGTTAAAAACCCCGCTGGGGAACACAGAAATGCACCGAGCGAAGGACACGAGCGCGCCGGGGAGCCGGGCCGGCGAGCTCGCGGCGGGGAAGGGGCTGCGCTTGCAGCGCCTGGCGGCGGGGGGCGCGGACCCGGGGCTCCCGCGCGGCGACACCCAGCCTCGCGGCCCGCCCCTCCCGATGCCGCGGCCTCGGCCGGAGCAAAGCGGCCGCCTCGGGGGCGCCGACCCTGGCTTGTCTCGTGCGCGGGAATTCGGGGAGCCGGGGTGTGCGCCCCTGAGCTTCGCGCCGCACCCCGGGAACACTGGCGCGTCCGCCGAACGCGGGAGCGTGCTGTCCCTGCACGCGGTGATGTGACCCCAGGCCGGGCGCACGGCCAGGCCCCCACTGGCCCCTCGGAGAGCACGTATTGTGAATCACAGCCGAGCCGGCCTTTCGGCTGGAACATCAGATTAGACCCGTGGTCCGCACTGCGTTCCGGACTTGTTTACTTCAGCTCGGTCTCTCCCGGGCTGGAACGCGAGCCTCCTCGCAGGGGCCCAGTTTTATTCATCTGTGTTCCCACTGCCTTCTCACCTGGCTTGGAAGAGGCATGTTTTTAAAATATGCTTATGAATGAAGCGCTTTAGTCCCCACGCTCTGCGACTTCCCTAAGTGACTTTGAGCCTTTAGAGCCCTTATCTGTTAAGAAAGGGGGAAAAAATGGGGGGGGGTAATAATCCTTGTAATTTGTGCCCTGTCTGCCTCTCTGGGGCTGTCGTGAAGATCAAGTGGGACGGGTGACAACGTTTGTAAACCATCAGATGCGAGCAAATAGCACATAGGATGCCTATTCATTTTGTCCCCTTCGCTGGGAAAGCTTTTAACGAAGTAATTCCTGGGCTTGTTTTTCAGCCGATGGTGGTCGCCCTTCGTGGTCAGTCTTAAATATTTATCGAGGGACAATCTCGTTCTTACATTTAGGAAATCAATCAGGCTTCCATTTCTTTGAGAGAAATGAACAGTGCTTGCACACATAAATAATGGAAGAAAAATCCTCGTATTCCCAAAACAGCCACCCAGGCAACCTAAGGGCCCAAGAGCAGGGAAATCTCGAAGCATCCATGAGATCGGCATAGGAACTCAAAGGCAGCGTTGCACAGCTCTAAGCCAGCCGCATCCAGGCATGGGACTGTGTGCGTGCTAGTGTTAAGTGAGAAGCAGAGAGGCACGCTGGAAAAGATGGTGTCCGTATACGCCCTGACCCATATTGGAAGGGAGAGGAGGATGTAAATCATTATATTTGAATGTTCCTTGGCTGTTTTATTTTCCTGTCAAGTGGCTTAAGCCTGATTTTTTTTTTTTTTAAGCATTCCCTCATGGCCAAGTATGTGTTTCCTTGGAATTGAAATCTAGGTTGATGGTTTTATATTTTAAAAGCTTTCATTGTGACTCATTCTTGGCCTGGGATAGGACTCTGTAATACTCCCCAAGCTCAAAGAGCCTGGGTGTCCTGTTTCTTGGGCCTCGTTCGTACCCACTTTCTAACATTTTGCCAGGGGATCCAAGAAGTCACTTTTGGAGACAAGTGTTTCATTGTCTTCCTGTCGTCTTAATCAGTACGGAAGGGAACCATAAACATGGAATTTCCCGGCTGAAGCCAGACGACGGCAGGGACAGAAGGTTTTCAAGTGCTGACAAGTTAGTGGTTAGACAATATCGGTCAGCAGTGCGAGACTCACACCCTCTAGAGAAGAAGCCGAGATGAGACAGGGCTGGGGAAGGCCGATTCGGGCCCAGCATGTAGTAAGTTCTACCCAGATGGGCAGCGTGGTTTGTTACGGGAGCTGTCTTGCGGACACACAAAGGCTCTGTTCTCTCTGGAAGGGAGCAGCTCCAAAGAGTAGGGCATCGTGGCGGGTACTGCGTACTCCCCCAGCACATTTTCAAGATTCCTGTTCTGTGGTCTGGGAATCCAGATGTGCCCACAACCGTGCACTCACGTGGAAGAGGGGGGTTCAGCAGTCTCAAATACACACCTTTTAACTTTGACCTTTTTAGTGCCTCTTAAAAGACAGATGGTCATTCTTTTATCAAGACGAACAGCAAAAACCTCATAAATATCTCATTTGCAGAGATCTGACACAACAGGCAGATTCTGGCCAGATTTAGGAAACAAGAGCTTTCACGTTCTGTATCCCGGAATAGCTCTCGAGACCTTGAGTATCTCCAGCCTCAGACTAGCTCTGACCTCAGCCACCACGCCCCTCCCCGGCGGATCGACTCTGGGCAGAGGCAGCAGACTCCATTATATCAGGTTGTAACACCAACAGTTCAGTTCAATGGGCATTTCTCCCAACCTAGCAGTGGCCGCTTCTTGCTTTTCCTGGGCGCTGCTGAAAGGGAGGATACAGGGCAAAACCCTTGCCTTCAAGGAATTTGCAATCTCCACCGACCCCGCCCGCACAGCGGCGCTTCTAACCCTCTCTCCACCTCCGGCCTCTCTTCCCCTCCATCCACCCTCCACGCTGCAGACATGGTGACCTTTCCAAGGCGCAAACCTCATCATGTCACTGCCTGATTGAGGCCCTGAAACAGCTCCCTCCGGCCCACGCCGTGATGCTTGGCAGAAAACAGGTGCTCTCTAAGCCGGGCCCTTGCTAATAGTAACTAATGACGGTCTTTTCATGGTTGGCAGAAAAAAAATTAAGTTAATTGATGGAATAGTCTCCGTTTTAAGTGTTTCTCCCCTCACTTTTCTTAAGCCTTTGGTCCCTTCGACCACTTGGCTATATTGGATTACACTATAAGACTATATCTGATTTGTCCCAGAACCATGAATTTCATTAATTTTTCTTTTTTTGCACAGAGCAACATTTCCTGGTGTTCTGCCTGTGGCTGTTCTGTTTTCTCAACACGGTGGAGTGTCCACGGGGACGGGGACCCGGCATTCAAGGCCCTTCCCCACAGGGCCACCTAACTGGTGAGCTTTTAAGAGCCTGGATTTCGAGTCTTGCCCATCGGCTTGGTTAAGCTTCTTCGAGACTTAGTGCCCCTGTCATGTGGTGTAATAAATCTTGTGGCACGGACAAATACATGGATTTCTAGAAAGGTGAGATTAAATATAGGAAGTGCCCGAGAGTACCAGATGGTCAGTGTCCTAAGTGGGTGACTCTGTCTTCCCCCCCATCACTTGCTGTCCCCACTCACCTAGGCTCTTTGTGTAACCGGCTCCTTCTTGTGACTCAGGCCTCAGACCACCCCAGATGAAGTAGCATCCACCCTCCGACCTTGCCTGTGCCATTGGGAAAGGACTGTCCTCTCCCAGGTCCCGAGGCCCACCACCCCATGGGCCCATGCTCAGTCAGCTTCAAGACTCCATCAATATCTAACCTCAGGGCTTTTGGTCTTTGAGGCCAAGAAAGAGACCTCTTTGGTAGTAGCTCATGCCAGCAAAGCAAATCTTCTGCACTCTTTTTTTTTTTTCCTTCCAGGATGATGTTGACACACGTGTACTAAAATAAATCAACCTTTCCATCTTAACCATCTCCCTTGGCAGGAACAATAAGTTGATGTGCCAAGCCAGGGCTGACCTGTGTGACTCAACCCTCGAAAGATAT